AGCAATGGAACATAAAACACAACAAGGCTACTGTTCCAAAACAGGTCTAACTAATTACAACAAATTGCTTTTTTTAAAAGGCCAGTTACTTTTAAACTAACTCTTTTCAAATTTTGTACGTGGCACCAATGTATGGGGGAGAGAGTTTATTAAACCCCAAATCACTCTCCTTTGTTGCTGCAATTGCGTCACTACGCAGTAGCTAGGACAGGTCAGTGACTTAAGAGTTTAAAAACTTGGTCATAAGTAAAATTGTCCCAAAACGTGGAATTGTATCCCAAGAACATAGGAAGTTGGGCTCAATTCATCCTGCATGTTATGTGTCATCAAGCTAGAACCAATGTACAGTGACCCTATTAAACTTTCAAGGTAAATGACATATTTAATCAGTGGTTTTGTCAGTTTCACTCCCCATCCTCAGTGAGCTTCCAAGGCCAAAAAGGGATTCAAGCCCAGGTCGCCTGAGTCTTCATCTGTCACTCTATCCACTATTCCATACTCGGTGGGAAAACTGGGAATTATTTAGGTATCCTTTATTATTGTGAATTCGATAGCACACCTGCACAGCTATAAACTTACTTCTATTTTACTGACAACAGAGGAGCTTAAAGTTTGTGTCCCTGCCCCAACCAGAGCTGTGTACATTCCACGTGGAAATATACATTAAAAACCAGCTTCCTGGCTATTCAAACTTTATGCCAAGAAAAGATAGATTGTGTATCCTGTATAAATTATACACAAATCTGGCAAAATTCCATGAATTCCATTATTCTGCATAATTTATTTTTGTTGTGCTAATCATGGGGCAACACAGGGGCCTATGCATGCTAAAACCCATCTGCAAACCACAGAGAATAGTGCTCCCACCACTCACTAAGATTTTGGCAAGCACCAAATACACATATTTGGAAAATATATCGTTGTCGCTAGAAGGACTAGAAATTTGCTGGCGGTGGGGGTTTCCAAGTGAAAACTGAAACTCATTTCTGCACCTAGTCCAAGGCCACATTCAAGGCATTCTCTGAATTGCTATGCCCTAGAATAGATGGCCTTCCACCTGTTGTGTCCAATATGTACCTATGTATTGTCTCTAACACATGCCCAAACACAAAGATACATTAAAAAGGCGGGGAAAAAAATACAACATTAAGGTATCTATATTTGCTTATCTAGGCAGAAGTGCTGCTGAAAACAACTGGAGTGACTTACCAGCCTGACCTTGCAGAGTTGTTTTTAAGAATAATGAACATACACAAATATGTACAGTGAGTATTACATATATTCAATCTGAATGAAATAACATGCTGAAGCCTCCATAATTGAGCAGTGGTAGGATGATACTCTCTAGTCAAGAACATCATCCTACTACTGCTCAGTTACAGATGGCTTCAATATGTCATTCTATTCATTATTCTTCAAAGTCACATTTCTGGCTCTCCTTCTGCATGGGCAAGCACAGGGATGAACGCTAAAGGAGTACTCCTATCCTCCAGAATCTTAAAAGCCCCAGGGCTGCAGTATCTATTTTTGAATAGAAAAATATAGCAGAATTTAATTAGGATAACGAGGGGGAAATTAACCAATAATGATTAACCAATAAAGAGATTTACAAACTTGTTCCTGTAATGTCTTGCTTTCAGACAGATTAATGCCCTTCCAGATTAACCTGTTTTGTACTTACTGGAAAGAATTTCATTGAAATTACTGAAACGTATTCCAAAATCATTTCAGCATATGGACTAAAGATAACTATACAGTATTTTCAAAACATTTCTTCTTCCAGAGATACAATATTCTACAGGAACCTCAGAATTCTACGAGGTGTGGAATGTTTACTGTTGGTGTCCTCCTGTTCCTTAACTTCTCAGCAGCATTTCTACAATCCCTAGTCTAAATAAAACACGAGTTCTATTAAAAGCCATGTTTTGCATTCTAGGGTGTGATATAAAACTATACTCCCTAAGAATAAGCAAGACTTGCTCCTATTTTTGATTCAAACTTCATCTCCAGTCATACAATTTGATGGGTTTCATGAATTGTTTTCATAGCTTTGCCTGACAATGCAACATGCTTGATTAGAAATCAATATCTGGATTATTTATTGATGAAGAAAGCAAAATACAGACTTTGGTCTCTCATTCCGGTAACTGTGGCGAGTGGGAGATTAATATATATGTGTGTAAAAAATGCATAACAAGCTGCCTTATCCGTCTTTGACAAAAAAAAAAGCCCCACCACCTAAACCTATGTATTTAATTAATTGAACATCCATTTACACCCTCGGGCTTCATGGCAGCTCAGTTTTAATTGACAGTTCAGTCACATAAGGTTTGGGGGAGTAGTTCTGGGTTTTGTTAAGACTCAGCTCTTTGGCTGTTGGAGTCATGTTTCTGATGCTCCCAGTAGTAAAATGTGCTGTGCAAGTTCATATTCCATTATGGGCCTATGGTTTCCTTTTTAATTTACAGAGATGGTGTTTTGCAATATGAGGCCCTGTGGTATTTGGGAGCAGGGGTAGGGGTTTGCTGGACAGACATCATTGGATTTACCATTCTTTCTATGTCAATATTTTTCAACTGACACAGACACTGGCATCTTTTCAGTGCCAGGTGAAAATATACTTGTTTATTAGAGCCTTTAGGGTTGACGGTCACAGCCTACCTAGGTTTAAATGCAATGGTTTCAACAGTTTAATATTTTGTTTTAAGCTGTTTAATCTTAAATACAGTAATCTTAAACATCTTATATTTTAAAATCAGCTCTGTAATCTGCCCTAAGATTCTGTGATATAGGACAGGCTATAAATGTTTTAAAGAAATTAATAGTTCTCTTATTTAATGTCTTGTTTTTTGATGGAAACAAAGGAACATGGTGGCACTGTGGGTTAAACCACAGAAGCCTCTGTGCTGTGCAAGGTCAAAAGACCAGCAGTCATAAGATCAAATCTATGTGACGGCGCGAGCTCCTGTTGCTTGTGCCAGCTCCTGCCAACCTAGCAGTTTGAAAGCATGTAAATGCAAGTAGATAAATAGGTACCACCACAGTGGGAAGGTAACAGTGTTCCATGTCTAGCTGTGCTGTGACCACAGAAACTATCTTCAGACAAACGCTGGCTCTATGGCTTGGAGACGGGGATGAGCACCCCCCGCTAGAGGCGGACACAACTGGACTAAGTGTCAAGGGGAACCTTTACCTTTGCCTTTTGTAGATGGAAAACCAGGCCAGAAGAGTACACTAAATTTTTGAAAGGACTATCCCAATATCTTCTAACATGCTCAACACATGCTAGGAAATATCCAATGGATAACTTCCAGTGTCACTAGGGGCATTATGTCAATAATACTGCAAATGGGTTGTGGGATAATCCTGTATAATAAAGCTTTACTTGTGAGAGATGCAGCTCCTGGCCTTTCTGAAGCAGGGGAGAAATGTGAAGGAACAGCAACTAAGAGTCTTGTGTGCAAGAGAGTCTTCGTGCAGTTCAGGTCAACTAACAGTTTCGACATGTAAGCTTTTAAAAAGCTCAGGGTATACTACCTGATCTGCTTTGGCCTCTTGGGGTTAAAAGACATCTAAATACACAGCCATTTTCATCCAACATACCTTTTGCTGGCATGGCTGGTTCTGCTTCATTTCTTTCATTTACCTGAAATTTACCAGAGATGGCATGCCAACAAAAATCTCTTCAACTACAGGCTTATGAGCTAGCATAGTGGAAAAGAAGATGGTACGAACCAGGAACAAGTCAAAGCAGATGTGATCACATCAATTCTACATTACTCAATGCCTTTTATTACTGATCTGTCATCTATTTCTCCATACACTATTTGAGTCATTAGTTCTACAAATATAAAAAATAATCACCCTTCCCTGACTACAAAGATTTACACACATATTCTAAGCATGATGTGAGGTAGGCCCTTCATCCTCTTTGCTCACCAGCAATAGCCATGGACCATTAGCCAGAGTGAAGCAACTGCCTCATCAAAAGGATGTCATGAAAAGACAGCAAATGGTTAAAGCTGTAACTGTAATAGTAATATTCTGCTGCTGGGGGAAGGCTTGAAAGATTTTCCACAGCAGACGCAAAAATTTCTTTGTTGGATTTGCATACTGTGCACCTTGACCAACCTGTGTGGGACAACATTTGCTGCTTTGCCTCAGGCAGCAAAATGTCTTCAACAGTGATTGAAGCACCCAGCAATAAATTACAAAGCACAGACAACTGCTTGAAAAGGTTGCACTACAATTAGAGGCCACTAAATAAATGGCTACTTTAAAATTTCCAGTCAACAATGTACACTATACTCAGTAACAACTTAACGTTGTGTTCAATACTGGTCAAAGGCAAATAGTCTCTCGCATATATTTTTCTGGCGATATATACGTATTCACTGCTGTTCTTTTTCATCTTCTGAGTTACCCTTGGAGCTATTTCAAAACCAATTTTTTTAAAAAATCAACTGGACAAATACAACATTTTGTACTTCAGCTCTAGAATATATTTCCTCAATATACAGTACAGGGAGATTTACCTTCCATGGAAGGATAAATTCAGTGACTGGATCTGAAAGCACTGCACAATTAGTTCACAATGCAGAAAATGTGACTTTTGTTTTGCAAATTATAGCCAACTGTTGTATTCAGGGGGCTGCTGGGCTGCCAAGAGGGACATGATGGTACACCACAGTATTGGAAAGTAAGAGCATACCTACACTACATATTTGTAGCAATATGAACCCCACTGAATTCAGGGATCTGTAATCTGATGGGGTATTTAGAATGATACACTAGAGAGCTCTAGTGATGTAGTTAATAGGGTCTGCTTCAGAAATGGAGGCATGGGGGTGCATTTGGTCATAACCTGAGGTGGAATTCTTTGGATTTTTGTCAAACATCTCTTCATTCTCTGAAAAGGGGGGAACTAAAAGAAATTCTTCAGATAAATGTTTCAAAATGCATCTCACAGGAGTGCACAAAAAAGAGGAAGCAGGACTTACCAAGGTCGGCCTTCTCCTTCAGAATATCTTTAAAGTTGAGGCCACTATTGTGTGTAGATTGCCTGAACCTACTCAGTGCTTCTTTCTGTCCATTTTTGCCCAGTTCTGTGGGTCTGATGGCTTCACTCCGGAGGCCGCACTTCCATTTGGAGAAGTCAGCTTGGACCCATTTTGCTAAGTCTTCAAGTTTCACTGTTACCTTCTCTGAAGCAGCAATAACTTCATCCTGGGAGTGGCAGGTAAATGAGAAGAAAGAAAGTCACATTTGGATCTGTAATATATTATAATATTTACCATTCTTGTTCTGTGAAATTTTATTAGGCCACTTCCTATTTATTTTCACTGTCACAGAATGTTCTAGTCAAAGAGGACGAGCGCAAGAGTGATTTTCTCTTACATACCCACTCATGCAACTTACATGAACATATTACAAACACATGCCATTTAGAAACTTCTGTTATAAACATATAAAAATTGAGGATCACTTTCCTTTTATCTCTTTTGTCTTCTAAACCCGTTCCCACCAACAGCATACAGCTCCCTCTGTCCCTAGTTTCATTTCCAACTTCTGAGCAACTGGAATGTTCATAAACATTCTATCGCATCCTGGCAGCTGAGCCTCAAGACTACTAAAGTTTTGCTTCTGTATCCAGAACCAAGGGCTTTTAAGGCCAATCACTAAAATACTTTGAAGATTTCAGTCTGCATTTACATTAGTTATTTTGTGAAGTTTATTTGAGGGGAAGGGACTAATTCAAAAAACACTGCTGTACAAATGTGCAAATCTCTGTTTAATTTTGATCCATCATCCAACTATCACTACAGTAAGCACCTTAAAGGGTTAAGCAGAGTATGGGAATAGTCACTTATAATTCATTCATCTGCCCACTAAAAAAATAATTTGTAGTTGTTGAAGTTACCAGTAAAAACGGTTAATTTGTTACATTAATCAATGAAATAACATCACTTTTTAAAACCAGAGTTCCCATTGTGAGCAAAACCTTCTTTACCACAACCCAGAGATCAATGAAATAACATCACTTTTTAAAACCCTGATAGTCTGCAAACCAGAGTTCCCATTGTGAGCAACACCTTCTTTACCACAAACCAGAATTTATACAAAGCCATCCTGGACTTCCCATAGCTTCTTATTTTGACTGCCAATCACTGAATGCCCACAGTGCCTCAGTCTTAGCAAAATACCCTCAAAGCGAGACATTTGGGCTTGGTGGGTTTCTCTGAAAAGGCATTTGTGCCAACAGGATGGCAGCGGGTAAAATGGCTTGCTGTAAAACTTCCCAAAGTAACACACCAGGTGGCCAAGCAGCCACTATCTAAAGGAATTTACTGAATGAGGAGAGAAGCTGACCTGGGTCTCTGGAACACTAGTGAGCAAGGCTGATGCCTCACTCTGAGGGCCTTTCAATGTGAGGCCCAGGAAAGCTCTAGGAGGTGCCTCACAGTTCTATGCCTCTCTTAAACAAGCGATTGAGCTGGCACTGGTGGTAACTCCAGGGAACGTCCCAGTGTTTATGTCACAGTAGGATCAACCATAGGCCCTTGCCAGGGTCTACTACTGTAGTCTTGAATCCTCACTTAGCATAGCTTGGCCAGCCCTTTTAACATTAGTAAGAAGGCACGATGTGACACTCTTCCCAGTCCTCCACCTAAGATGAGCTTCCCCCTACTTTCAAAATGGACTGGCATGCTCCATTCAATGGGCTATCAGGTTCTAATCTGGTTTTAAAATAATAAGTCATACCACAGGAGAAGAGCAGACTTAAAATTGCACACCAGGCATTTGCACCGAAAAAGCAGCCTGAACAAATACAAAGGTCACCTAGTCACCGTTCTCCTAATTATGGTGGAAAGGGTTATATTTCTATTTAAATTGCAGTAATTATTTCCAAAGTGCCATTGATACTTATAAATTAGTACATAGGCATTTCAGGCAAATCTATGTCATCTTTTGTTCTGCTTTTGGTGATTCATTTCCTCTCTTTTTGGCAATGTGTAAATGGTTACCCTAGATTACGCTTACTTTATTTCCTGAAGGAAGATATTGATATTACAGGGAGCTTTCTGTGGCTTTTTAAAAAAATGTTGCTGTTATTCAAGTCACTCTTAAAAAAAAAAACACCACAAATGACATTACTCAAGAATACCAGGGTTGTTATCCTGAAAGCAATTAGGAAAGAGGATTGAGAAATTTCAGTTCATTGCCAAAAACTGAGGGTGGATTAGGAGCACTTTTTAAAAATATGTAATTAATCTGCAAATGTAAAAAATTCATAGCCATATGACTAATGGCTCTAGCTAGCCCTCTGTCACATAAATGATGTAAGTATATGTAGGATTCCTGGAACTCTAACTCACCAGAAAATTCCTGTGTTTATAGTACAGTTTCCTTGGCTTATATACAAATACAGAATTTAAGTTTTCTCCTAAAAAATTAAATGAAACTGTGATGTAATCCCAAAAGATACACTCCACAAATTCTACTAGTCTCCTACCAAAGAGAAACTGGCACATTCTCAGGTTTCCTCCACATGTTTTCAAGATCAGAACCTAACAATAGCCATTCCTGCTGCCCTGCTTTTAAACATACATTTTACAGAAAAGCTGCATAAATTTAGTTGAGCCTATGGAGAATACATGTGAAATAAAAACTTCTCTTTTTCTTTTCTTCTTTTCTCTTTCTTTCTTTTTTATTATTATTATTAGCAAAACAAGTCCTGTTACAACACAGAAAACTTCTAAAGCTGCCCCTTCCAGGAAACAAATGACTGTTCTCGCGCAGGATGAATAAGCAGAACTCACAAAGGTAGCACAGAAATTTGTTTTTCTTTTTCAAGAAATGAAAATAAATGTGGTTTCATTCAGATACTCAATCTGGGGACAGGGAGTCGAGCAGAGTCCATGATTTAAATGGCCTTTTTCTGGCATAAATTACCAGAAATGTTGTAACCTTAAATCAATTTGCCTGGTGTATATTAGTAAGAAAATGTACACAAAGCATTCTGAACTTCCTGACATATTATTATGGTATTTTGATTAGCCAATCATAGGCTCTGTCACAACTTCAGATTTCCATCCCTCATTGTTCTCCTTTTCTCCCAGGAACGCTTCAGGGCTTTGAACTACAGTGGTGTCTCGCAAGACGATGTTAATTCGTTCCACGAAAATCGCTGTTAAGCAAAAACATCGTCTTGCGAAACACGTTTTCCCATTGAAATGCATTGAAAACCTGATCCAATGGGAACGGCTTGTCATAGTAAAGCGAAAATTGCCATAGGAAACATTGTTAAGTGAAATGCAGTTCCCAAGCAAAGACAGCCGTCTAACGAAACAGAGACCATTAAAAGACTCGTATAGTGAAGCAAGACCAAGCTGTCAAAAACATCATAAAGCGAAAAACAGGGGCCTAAAATTTAGCCGTCTTGTGAGGCAAGGTCCCTAACATCGTAAAGCGAAAATCGCCCATAGGAAACATTGTTAAACGAAGCGCAAGATCGCTCTGAAAACCTCATCATAAAGCAAATTCATCATTATGCGAAGCAATCGTCTTGCGAGGCACCACTGTAAATTGAAAGCCACCACATTTAACCCAGTTATGAAGACACAAACAAGACTTTGGAAAAGCAGGATTCAGAATCATGTGGTGCAGCAGTGTGTAAAAAGAAGGTGTGCTATTTCAGATTCCCACTCTTCACATTAGGACAGTGATAACACAGGGAGTAGGCCAGTGGGCTCCCTTCCTCACATATTTATTTAACTTAAACAGGGAATGTGTGAATACAGCTATTCTTACATCAGGCTGGCTGGATAGCCCAACGAGTTAGATATTTGGCTGCAGGGCAAGAGACTGGGAGTTCATTTCCCTGCTGTGCCTCACAGAAGAGCTAGCCTGTGAAGCCCTGGGCAAGCTGCACAGTTTCAGGATGCCCGCGGAAAATAGTAAACCATGTCTGAGTACTTGCTACCTAGAAAACCCTGGAAATGATCACCGTAAGTCAGAATTGAGAGCACACAATTATTACCTCAACTTTGTATACATTTTTTGTGGATGGGTGTCAAGGCAAAATAGAGAAATTCTGTAAATCATTAGCAAAGATACAAACATTCAAAGGCTAGAATTCTGTTGTTCAGCATAGGAAGTCCCAACTAAAAGAGGACGATTTGAATCAATGGAATTTACAGAGGAGATGACTCGCCAAATCACTATTGATTCAGTGGTCCTAGTCTAGCATGACGGCTTCTCTCAAAGTTACCAAACTTATCCTTTGTTGGTGTTTAAAATGCATACATACATTCAGGTAACAAAATATTTCTGAGCAGCCAGCAAAACAAAGAAAATCTGGAAAATTACTGTGAAAAGTTACAAACACTAAAGGAACAGAGCAGTTTTTTTTGGGGGGGGGTTGGTGCATTACATGGGTAGTGAGACTAGTACTTCTAGGAATTAAAACTTCTAAGATCTATAAAGGAACCTGTCTTTGGTATGGGGAAAATGGAGAGAAAAGCAGCAGATTTCATAAACAACCTCATCCTTTTGTGATTCAACCTACCGGTACAAGGAGTCATCTTTCACTAGACTAGTGAAATCTGTAATAGTTGGTCAATAACAATGAAACAGCTGGGAGACTGATCTGAGTGTTTTACAAATATTAATGGAAACAAATCAACAAAGTGCTAACTATCCAACAGTAACAAATGTTGATGCTCTGCCAACACTGCACTGTTTAAAGGGCACAGTAGAAGAAGTATGGCTTCTGATGTGACAAATCAATCATTGGTTTAAATCCCAGCCACACATTCACTAAAGAGCTCTAAACAAGCCGTTTGCATCTGAGTCCCACACCCTGATCTGTGTGTAATACCATTACAGTACTGGCCTACTTCGCAGGACAGTTGCAAGGATGCCTTTCCACGGCCAGGATCCTCTTTAGTCAAACAGTTCAGACAATAGCCAGAACATAACACAGTGTGACTTTTACAGTGCTTGTGCAAGTGGAGATCCAGAACCTCCTTGCACAAGCATATGTTGAGTATTCCTAAATAGGACTTCGACTTGCCTAAGGGCAATAATTGTATAAGAAGGAATTTCCTGTTCTAGCAGAGTGCTGCTGTCCAACAGGATTTCAGCTCACAAATTTAAGATCAGATTTCACCACCTTTCCCCTCCCTGCACTGGTTTTTGTAACAGAGGAGATCTGTTAACCTGGA